TTGTATTTCACATCCAGCTTCTTGCACAGATGATTAGTTCTCATGTTCTCTAAGCTCAACCAGATCTTATCTTCAGGTTGAAAGCTTGAAGCTGGGTCTCTTTGTCTATTTATGTATTTCTTTTGAGATTGCTGAGCATCTGTCATTTTTACTTGAGCTCATTTCAATACTTTACAGGCTTTTCTCATATAATCATCCACAAACTCAATGAGATTATATGATGTTTCAATGGAGGGTGCATCAGCTATATCAATGAAGGAGATGTGGAAAAGATGTGTTAAAAAGAACAGACTCACATCTATTGAGGCAGCATTTCTATTATTAATGGCCAGCTCTGCTAGAGGAAGTCATTCATATCAGTCATTCAGTTGAAAGCTAACATACTTGCATAGATAGATTTCCAGAGTCTGGTTCATTTGCTCTGTAGCTCCATCAGTCTCTGAGTGATAGATTGTGGAGAGTCATCTCTTAATGCTTAATTTCTCACACATCTGAGTTCAAAACATGCTTGTGAAAGCTGATCCTTGATCTGATACTACTGTCTTAGAGATGTTATGTTGAGAAATGATGTTGTGAAGAAACACTCTGATCATTGTCTCTGCATCAGTTTTCTTAACTGCTTTTAGTATAACTCTCTTGATCAGTCTATCTATTATAATTATAATATTCATGTATTCTTTAGAGCTTGATAAGTTCATGATAAAGTCCATAGAAAGCTCCTGCCACATGTGTTCAGAAATGAGAAGAGGCTTAAGCAGTTTCTGATGTTAATCTCTTCATGTAGTGTTTGATCTACAAAGATGGCAGTTTCTGATCATTCTTCTCACATCAGTGGCATAGTCTGGCCAGTAGAACTAACATCTTAGAACTCCTGCTGTTTGCTCTCACCTGGGATGACTGGTAAGAGATGAGTCATAAGCCTCATGCACTAATCTGATTTAAAGAGGTTTGAAGTCTGGCACTCACTTATAATCTTAAAAGAGAAGCTCTTCATTCTCATTTAAAGAGCACTCAGAGACAGAGGCCTTAATGCTGAGTTCAGAAGAAAATCTAGATCTTTTCTCATGAAGAGTTTGCTTCAGATGCTGTAGAATTTTGTCATTTTTGTGAGCTTTATTTCACTGAGCTTGAAGAGGCATCTTGGATTCCACACTAGCAGCAGCCACTATTGATTCCATTCCAGATGCCAGTATGTTAAACTTAAGTAGTTGAGCTTGTCTCTGCTTGATTCTCTCATCATCAGCACTCTGTGACATGTTCTGCTCTCTTCATGATAGAGTGTCTGATTCAGTGTTCAACTTCTCTGATCAGTAATCAATTCTGAAGTTGAATTGATAGAGAATATTCATCCAACATAGCTATCTTTTATTTAGTTTGCATGTAGTCATGAAGTATTCTAGATTCTTATGATCTGTGAGAATCTTAAATTTCTTTACACTTCATAGCTCAGCATCTTATTTCTTTAAACACTCAATTATTGCTAATAACTCCTTATCATGAATCTTGTAGTTGTATTCCGCAGATGAATGCTTGTGAGAGAAGAAGGCACATGAGTGTAGAATGCTCTGCTCATCATATTGTAGCAGCAATTCTTCTGAGATATAATCTGAGAAGTTCATTTTCAATATAGTCTCATAGTTAGAGTTGAATTGAAGCAAGATTGAAGTAGAGATAAACATTAATTTTAGATGCTTAAAAGCTTCCTCAGCCTTGCTTATTTATAAAAAAGAAACATTCTTGTATGTAAGAATTGTCAGTGAGATCATGATCTTTGAGAAATCTCTGATAAATTGTCTATAGAAATTGACAAAGTCTAAAAATCCTCATATATCTTTAAGAGTAGTAGGTGTCACTCATTTCAAAACAGCTTTAATTTTCTTTAGACTCATTTGTATACCCTTGCCTGCTTCAATGATGAATTCAAGATATTTTATACTCTTCATCTCAAACTCACTCTTTCTGATATCTGCCTGCAGGTCTACTTCTTGTAGATACATAAGCATCTTTTGTACATGCTCATAATGCTTCTGTAAGCTTCTTGAGGAAAATATCAAGATATCATCTAAATAGACTGAGCAGAAGTCATTCAGATATCCACATAATGCCCAGTTGATATATTTTTGAAATGTGCTCAGAGCATTGGCCAAATCAAAGAGTGTAACCAGCTACTCAAATAGTCTGTATCTGGTTCTAAAGACTATCATTCACTCATCACCTTCCATGATTTGAATCTTGTGAAAAGCTGCAATAATGTTCAGCTTAGTGAATTATTTAGCTCATTCAATTCACTGTAGAGTCTCACTGATTAATGGTAGAGAATATCAATTCTTTCAAATGATTTTGTTAAGAGCTCAATAGTCTATACAGAATCTTAGCCCACTCCCAGACTTCTTCATGAATAGTATGAAGGCAGCTATAGAGGAGTTGCTCACTCTAATAAAACTCTTATCTAGATAATCTGTAAGAGTCTTTCACAAAGTCAGTAGTTCCTCTCAAGACATATTATATAGTAGGCCCTAAGGGGGTTATTTTGTGCTATCATCAGTCTTTTTAATCAGTTCAATCCCATGATCTCTATCTGAATCATGAAGTGGGGGTAGAGTGTCAGCAGCTTCCTTATTAAATATGTTCAAAAACTCATAATAATGTTCAGACAGCTTTTCTCTAGAGTCAATCTTTGATTTCACTTCTAGAGTTTTTTGAATGTCAGTCAAACTGATGATGAAGATCTTGATGTTTTACTTCTCTCAAGTGCTCATAAGCCTAGAGAAGCTTATGGCAGAGATGGGAATCACATCAGCTTTTGCATTTGAACTAGGCTCTATCTCTATGCCACTCTTTTCAAATCTTACAATTCTTTGATAAGGAATCACGGTCGCCTTTTGCTGGGCCAGCCAGGGGTCACCTAGATATATATCATGACTATATAACCTATTCACCATATAGAGAAAGGCCTGTTCAGTTATATGACCATCTATATCAATTCAAATGCTAGTCACTATGCTTGTAGAGAGTTCCATGAAGTCTTCAAAGCTGGTCATTTTAACAGAGAGAATTTCAATGCACAGAAGCTTATACTTGTTAACATAGAATTGAGAAATAAGATCATAGACATTACATTCACTGTCTATCATTACTCTAGTTGAAAAGGCATTATCTACTAGAGCATCAACAGTGAAGGGTTTGAATATCATCTTAGATTTAAATCCTCTTCATTACTTCTTCATAAGCTTCTTATTTCACTTCTTCCAGTGTCTTTTGATTGAAGCTACTCTTTTTTCTGAATTTTTGCTCATATCCACATCATCATTGTTCAGTATCAGCTTGGAAATCACCTTAGCTATTGTGAGGGTGGCAAAGTATCTGAGAGATTTAAACAGACAGCTTTTAATCATATAATCTCTGACTCTGCATCTCAGACACAGGCTTTGCTCTCTTCTTTGATTAACCTCTGTCTGATTTATCAATTTAGTATGATGAGCACTTGAGATCACAGCATCAGAAGAGAGATTCATCAGATCATCAGTGAAAGCTTGAGACTGGTTTCATTGATTGAGAACAGCATGATGAAGTAGAGAGTGTGAATTAGACATTGTATGATCTGAAGAAGATCTGTTCTTGTGATATTTAGATCACTGTCTTAAAGTTTTAAGCTCAGAGAGTTGATGATCAACTAATCTAAGCTTCTTGCAGTAATTCTCATAGAGAGATGGTTCTCTTACATCCATCATGCCTTTCCTCAGCTTCATGCTTAGAGCAGATTTCAAATATCTCTTTTTAATGTGATCATCTCATTTGTGATTGCCAGCTTTCAGCAGTAGCTGATTAAATTTGAGCAGAAAGTCAAAGAGAGCTCTTCTACTTTGTCATAGATTATTGAGCTTTTGCATAGTCTTTTTCTGTTATGCAGAATCACTAAAGAGCATGCATGTCTGCTTCAGTAAGCTCTCTACTGTGAAGTTGATCTTGTTCTTATTATTCTCAACTCAAAGATAAACTCAAGCTGCTGTCATTTCTTCCAGTCTCAAGTACACATATCAAGCACATTTCTCATTATTGCCTAAAGCTTTCCCATCAACCTTAAGCTTTGATTGAAGCTTTAGCTCTCACTGAGAGTAGTGCTTCAGATTAGAATCATCATACTTCTTGTAGTTCAGTAGCTTGATCTTTGATCTTCTGACTGCAATGAGTAGTTGTGAGTTCAATTGAGAGAGAGTTGATGTCAGAGTGTTCAAAACTTGATGTAGATTAGTTATTTCAGCTTGCTGAGCTGCTATTAAATCTCTGTTCTCACACTGAACTTGTTTCTACTGTTGAAGAAAGGTCATCTATTGTTGTTCAAAGCTGCTGGAGGTGTCCCTGCTCATTGCTTCATGTTGATTCATTTGTGTATTCATTGTACAAGTCTGCTGCTTTATCTTGTTCAGCTAGATGTTTTCAATATTGCTCATTTATTCATTAGCATGATTGCTAACCCAGTCTATTCATATATCAGTGCTATCACTGGACTTTGTGATGCAGGATTTAAGACTCTCAATAGTCTATCATATGTCAGCACATTTTCTGAGCTTCATGATACAGAATTAAGACTCTCAGTGGCCTATCAATGAAAGAAGTCAAGCAATTCATAATGTAAAGGGTTAAGCTCTAAGAATTAGAGGCTAGTCCTCCTATATAACAAGGATGAATTGCTTGAGAAAGGGAAGAAAAAAATGAGATGAGAACTCAAGCTTAAGCAAGCTCACGTAGCATGATCACGTGCGCACATGCAAACAATGGCTAGGCTGAGTCAGCCAGCCAGAGCGAATCTAGAGGTTCAACCCCTTATATTAACCAAGTGTTAAATAAAAACACACACATACACACATACACACATATATATATAAAACTACCTCAATTTACTAGAATCTAATTAATTCCACAACAACAAAATAAATATTAATTAGATTATTAAATAGTAATGAGAGTATTCTCTAGTTTCATATAAAATAAATATATGCTTAACTGAAGAACACAGTCATAATAAGAGATCTAACATAAAATAAGAAGATTGATCAAAAAAGTATCAATTTCTAAATTAGTAGTAGAAGCAGCAGTAAGCTACTTCAAAAAATTAAGATTGATCTCATTTTCTAAACTGAAAGATTAAATAGAGTTTAAAAAATTAGAATCTGCTGTAGATATCTGTTTTTATTATTACTTTAAAGCAGTTGTAGTGTTCTTGCTTCTCAGCTTCAAGCCGAGTTTTTTCAGTCTTTCTAGCAAGCTGCTGAGCTTCACACTACTCTGTCTTTCTAGTCTTCTCTTTCTCACAGACTTTGTGAGCTGCTGTCTGAGCTGCTTCTCATTTAATTCATTTTTACTGACTCTCTTCAGCTTCATGTGCTTTTCAGAGATCATATTAAAGTCATTCTTAAGCTAATTGAGCAGCTTTCTTCTCTTTTTCATGATCTGCTTTCTGAATCCTTTCATGAGCTTGTTGAATCTTGAATGATGAGAAGAATTAAGTCTGATCAGACTGCTGTTTTGAATTCAATAAATCTAAAAACTTTTCACACTGCTATTACTTCTTTTTATTGAATAAAGTTTTAATTAGAGTCTTACTCTTATTGGCAAGTATTTTCTTTTCAAAGACAAGATTTTCACTAGCATGTATAATTTTTTTCATATCTTTAGAGAGCAGGTTCTACCAAAATCAAATTCTCTTAATATTATATCAAAGAGCATAAGTAGTTGTAGATGTAGTAATCTCAGTTGAAGCTGAATTGACTGAAGATATAGATTATTTTGTAAATTAATAAAAAACATACTCAGAAGTAAAAAAATAAATATCAGTGACAACAAAGCAAATTAAATATTCTTGATTATTAAAAACTGATTTTATATAGAATTGAAGACTGATAAAAAACTTTCTTTTGTCATTCAAACAAATTCAAGTTCACTACAAAGAATGTTATTAACATTGTAAAAGTATGCTTCTACTAGAGAACTAAAGATGTCAATATTCAAAAATTGCAGTCAGTGAATTGAATATAAAGACTGATGCGTACAAGCAATTGAATAGATAAAATAAATCATATCTGATTCTCTTCTAATAAAATGGGCAGACGCTCTGCTATATATACATACTATAATCACTCTATATGGTAGGAGCGATTGCATAAGATAGGAAATATAGAAAAGATTAAAGCCTTTGAGTGGATTAGAAAGAGGTGAATAGAGAGTAGATACTAATATAAAGAGGGGTAGAAGAATAGAGGCGAAACACTACAGATAATAATAGAGGCGGAACGCTACAAAGATAGTACTATAAAAATAATTTAATTTTAATCTGCAAAATTAATAAATCTTATATTAATATGAGAAAAGTATTCATTTAGAATAAGAAGACATCTTCTGCAGTCTGTTTTAGTCTTGATGTGCTCATCAAAAATCTGCTTTAGTCAGTTAAGCTTATAGTCATTATTACTCTAATCTTTTTCAAAAACTACAAAATAAGCTATATTATTCTCATTCAAATTCTTTAATCATGTATTCAACATATCACAAACCTCTTTTTGATAAATAAGAGTGAGTGAAAGAGCTGTTCTATCTGCATATATTGCTGTAAGTAGAGAGATAAATTCATAGTTATCATCTTGAACTGCAGTAATTCACTTTGTCTTCAGAGCTTCAACTGAAATGATCTGCTTAGTAACCTGGCCAATGCTAATTAAGAAGCTCTTTTTATCAAAATTGCAAATATTTGATGACTCAATATTGTATTTTTCAATCTTTTCATTTAACTATATAGTTATATAGCAAAATGATTAATAAGAGTCTATGAAGAACTTAGCACAAGAAAACAAGCAAAAGATCAAAATACTAGCTGGAAATAATGCTCAAAATGAGTAGAATTATCTGCTATCTTGTGTTTTTGATCAATGCTATGGACATGAATTCTTTTGAGCCTTATAATGCTCAGTAAAGAGCCTCAATCAGTGGATTTCAACAGATTCTTTGATGATTTCTGCAATGAGATTTTGAATGATTTGAGGTGTAGGAGCAAAGCTGTGAGCTGCAAGCTTCTCTATATAAAGCAAAAGTGTTTGTTCTTGCTGATTTGAGAGCTGCTTCTTATGCAGGGAGGCTGTTTCATCCTGCATGAGTTGCAAGCTGTTATAATGCTGACACAGTGTTTCCTTATTAATTGAGTGCTTCCTAGCAGTTGCAGCATAATTTTTGACCTTTTGAGCTCTTAAATCCTTAATTGCAAGTTGAATAGCTTCTTCATTTGGCATCTCAAAGCAGTGGAAGTTGAAGAATTAAATTGCAGCTCGTCGCAAAAACACAGCTCATTTAGTGGTACGGCTCGTTTAGTGGTAAGTCACGTTAACTAGTTAACTCGCTTGGGCCAAACAACCTCGGAAGGCCTGCCAGAGATTGCTGTCATTTATATATATATTGGAATGCTTTTTAGCTAGCAGTGCTGTATTATTGTAATCTTCTTATAATACATCCGCTATTTGAAAAATATACTTGTCCCCTACATATTGCCAGCTTAACGGGCTCATCTCCTGATCCCCAGATATCCCACAGTAAACCTCACCTGCAAGCACATCCATACCGAATCCGAGTAGCGGGAATAGATACACCCCCGCTATATTTCGTTTGCCCTTTCTCATCCCTCCTCATCTCCAGAAAATCTAGAAGCATAAATAATGGGCGAGAAATCCATATTCCAACAAGCACAAGAAACTTGCAGCTATCTGCGGGAACGTCTCCCCGCTGAGCTCCAAAAACCCCGGTTTGCCATTATCTGCGGGTCGGGACTAGGCGGTCTGGCGGAATCAGTGAACAAGAGTCCCAAGGCTGAATTTGACTATGCGTCTATTCCTCATTTTCCAGTTTCAACAGGTAAATTTTATATATATATATATCTCAGGCAACTTGTGTGTTGTGAAGGAAAGAATTACACCGCTGGAGAGCACCTGGCCTGGGTCGTTTAACAATGAAGTATACTTGCCTGATAATGTCTCAAATGATGATATTAATGTGAATGTGTGCGCAGTCCCTGGACATGTCGGCAAACTCGTGTTCGGTATTCTTGGAGAAAATATTGCAGGTGTGATGATGGTTGGCAGGTCGCAGTATGTTTCCTGATCACAGAAGACTGGCTATTCTACGTGGTTTTGAAATTTACACTGTCTAACCGCCAAGAAAAAAGTTACTATGAAGGCCACTCGGTAGATAGGATCACTTTTCCGGTGCGTTTATTTAAACTACTGGGGATTGAGATAATCGTTGGTGAGAATCCTCAGTATATATTATATTGCCATTCATTATCATACAGATAACTGAATACGTAGATCCGCATCATCAGTCACAAGTGCTGCAGGAGGACTGAATCCTGAATACGAAGTTGGGGACATCGTCATCTTGAATGATGTGAGTTTTCTCCATTCCCACTCCCCCTCCCCCATATAACAAACTTAAACAACAAGGAATGACACCGTGGCAGCATATTTTTCTTGCCGGTCTTGCGGGAATACATCCACTTCGAGGCGCGAATGATAACGAATTTGGCGTCCGCTTCCCTCCTCTATCAGACGCGTATGATCTTGGGCTCCGGAGGAATGCCCATCGAGCCTGGAGAAAAGTGACGGTGCCAGAAAACACTAGACGAGTATACGAGGGAGTTTATGCATTTGCTGGGGGACCCAGGTAAAAGATTATCACAGTACTAGAACCTATGCTTCTTCTTGGGTGCCGCTGACTAGAGTAAAAAAAAAAAAAGCTTTGAGACGAGAGCTGAATGCCGGCTACTACGCCAGCTCGGCGCAGATCTCGTTGGAATGTCAACAGTTCCTGAAATCATCGTGGCAAGACACTGTGGGATCAGGGTTCTCGCGATGAGCCTGGTCACGAATAAAGCAGTCTTGACTCCAGTTCCATGTGGAGAAGACCAGCTTTTGCAGAATTTAACAGTGGACGAGCTAAACACCATCGTCGAGGAAGGCAAGGCGAATCATGAAGAAGTCCTGGAGGCTGGTCTCCTTGCAGCAGCAGATATGCAGGTGAGAGATTGCAAATACTTATTTAGACGGCCCCTTGTACCACAACCGACTTATTCGCCGTGCTAGAAATTGGTAACGCAAGCTCTGGCAGATATTTTTGCTGCCGCGGAAAACTAGTTGGGTGATAGATAGCAGGGTTGGCGATCCGGTTCTGGTTCTGTGGTGTTGGATGTTTGGATGTTATCGAGCGGGATACGAAGGCTACATGTCCTTGGTGAGGAGCGCCTAATCTGTACGTAAATCCAGAAGCATTGTTTTGATTTATAGAGAACACTTCAACCAAACTTGCTGCTTCTCGACCTCTTCGCCTTGACAGCTTTGTAGTAAACCTTCTTGCCGCTCGTCTTTGCGGACTGGATATCTTCATATTTCCGGCGGAAATGACCGTTCTCCTTCTCGGTAGCCATCGCTTCTTCCACGAAATTCCGCTTGCGTTCTTTCTTGGGAATGCGAGCGCTGAAGAATTCGGTAGGGCCCTCAACTATGGTACCAACCTGGGAGAACTCGGGAGCTTTCGCTTTGCTATTGTCTTTCTTGTAGTGCCGGTGTGGATCGAGCACTGGTCTCATACGGAGAAGCTGGAGATCCTTTTTCAATTCTGGGGTGAGATTTGTTTTGGGTAAATTAAACCAGTCTGATCCTGCGGTTGGTTTCTCCTTTGGCAAATACGAGTTAGCACCTAAATTCAAAAAGACATGAAACGACACACAATAGCAAATGCAAGAATGTGAGGGAGGGAGAATAGTGTTCAGAGTAACTATGAATAAAATAGAACTTTCACAGAAGCAGCGCAGCCCAAGACGGACTGGTAAAACTGCATCAAGCGCTAGATGCGGTAAAATATCTTCGTCATAACACCATTGATAAAAGAGTAAAATGTGATAGGAAATGTTCAAGGAAATGGATGGTGGTAGACGGCGACTACTAACCTTTTTGTACTTGGGATCAGGAACTTGAGGAACTGAGCGGATGGTTTCCGAAAGCTTTTTCTGCTCACCTGTCACAGCTCGAGACTCGTCGAAGGCAGCAACATTGTCTTTTTCACGAATGTAGGGCTGGACGGTTTGAGTGAAATCAAGCGCGGGAAGGCTAATTTCAGCAACTATTAGCATTGGTATTTAAGAGGCGGCGTTTGGAGGACGACGAAATACGTTTCGGGAAGAAGTGGAACAGTACCGCAATGAACTAGATGAAGCTACAGAATCGTCCGAACGAGGGTGAATGGAATTCGCCTGGGAGGCAGAACGAAGCCGTGTCTCTGCCTCCAGGAGAAGGGACTGGATCTGCTCGTCTGACAAAATTTCCACCTTGTCGGAAGATCTGGTAGAAGCCTGCACAGACATATTGATGACAGGATTTCAGAATCCTTTTCGCAAAACGATTATTGCTTATTTGCTATCAAGAAATTGTGAAAATACAAGACACCCAAAAATGGAAAAGCTGACATATTCAAGGAGAGCATCTGAAAAGAAACAGCAGAAAAGGAAAATAAAGTCCAGTTTCGATGTTGTTGGGAGGAAAGTTTGGTTTTCTTACTTAATACTTTCCGGGACTGACCAGGTTAGTCAGCGCCAAAAGATGTCTTGGCACATCTTCCTCGTCTTAACAAGAACTGCCTAAGCAGGAAATATCCCCAGACTCCAGAATCAACGTTCAGACAGCTGCCAGATGTTATATCCACCGTTAGGAAAGGACATGAGCAAAAGACATGTCCTCGAACTGCCTATCTTTTCCACCAGAAAATGTGGATGGTGGTTGGTATATGACCGTGTTGGTGTTTCCGGCGCGAGCCAACTCCAAAACTTCATCCCTCCCCTATACATATATACGTATGGTGCACGTGCCTATTGGTAGACATGGGAGTTCATATATCTGAATATCCTTTGGGTGCCCCGTGGTGGCTTTACTGGGACTCTCGATCTGATCTTTTAAGTGTCTTATCCTAACCTATCATGCCGAGGATTCCACGCAATGATACTTTACCTGCTGGTCTTGCATTTTCTCTCAGAAGAGATGCGAAAGTTGCAAGAATAGATGAAGGGGAGGGAGGTCATATCCAATAAAGATTTGCAGCACGTCTACTACCTTCAGCAACTCCCTCCAGCACTGTGCCGACTTGTGATGAATCTGTCCTCACCAACTCTGGAGTTCAAAGCCGCCTCGATGTGACCCCAAAACCACAGAGGTTCAAACAGATATCGATAACCTTGGATCTGTTCCACAAGCAGCTTTCTATGGGGTGCAGCAAGGGGGAAATTGTACGATTCTGGTTCGGATGCAGAAAGACATGCAGATATCACATCCTGAATAGCGTTCACATCCTAACCTATACAATGTCTCTCTCTTTCTTCGGGTTGTCGTTTTCATTATTGAATCCGTCTTTTGCTGGTATGCTCATTGCGTGCACTTGCACAGTTCCCGGAATTGATGCATGTTGGAGCTCAGCGTGCCACCTGCAAGGTGCTAACATTTCCTACTACACGATCATGGTGGACCAAGAAAACCCCTCCGTTTGCCGTGTCGACCGACATGTGGAAGCTGCTCTTACTCCAAGATCAGGAGTTTAACTATCCGTCAAGGAACACGCTGTCTGGCAGGGGTGACCAGCATCATCAGTATGAGAGGGTGTTTGATGGGGTTTTGCGATTAAGACCAGTCCACTCTGTCTCGTCCATGGCTGAGACCAGGACTGAAAACCCTAACACCATTCCATGGAATTACCACTATCTATATTGTATCCCTGCTAGTTTTCTGGCTTTGGGATCTCTATCTATAACCATCAGATCAGCAGTCATTCATTGACGGTCATAGAGGGTAGGCACTGTCCTTTTGAGATTTTATTTTATCAGATTATTCATTCACCTCTTCTGTCTAACAGTGGGTTTTTGTTTTGATAGTTAGCTGTGGTGGAATTTAAACAATAACCTACTAATTTAGCCACTAATGCACAGTGATTCCATTTCACCCTCACCCCTGATTCTTGCCTGATGGTCGAGGCGGAGGTGGTTATGCGAGCAGCCCAACCAATCACAGTTCACCTACGAAGTGCCCTTTTGGGTGCACATTCGATTCGTCTGGAGAACACTCAGGCCGAGCATAAATTCAACATATCCACGTCAAACAAATCATTGCTATGTGTTTGATTACCGAGTAACTAGTCCCTCCTAGGCGGAATAACTTGGGCCTATTGTTGCCCAACGGACAAATCGAGTTACAGCATCAAGTATTGTGGCATCATCATGCCGTCCCTGAGATAAGTTGTTCATGGACACCCAATCTCGAATCTTCAGCCAATGAGATGCCTGGAATTAGGCTGTCAAACCAGCCTGTCATCGTTTGAGCTGCTGCGTTTGAGCTGTTGCGCGGAGTATTTTAGCCCATATAGATAGATTTGATGTGCCCAATTGGGCGCTTGGGGCTGTTGCGAGGTAAACAAAAGCTTAAATCTATACATTCAGCTCAACTGTTTTGCATGAAAGGTTTTTTAAAGAGGAAGCGGATGTAGATAACAACAGAAGACATGGAATTCCTAAAATAATGTAATAAATATACTTCCAAGTGTATTCAATAATAATAATAATAATAATAATAATAATAATAATAATAATAATAACAACAACAACAACAACAGCTCTCCCTCGTCCTCATCCTTATTTCCTCCCCATGAATGCTACAGTTTTAATTAAATTCAGTTTAGTCAAGTTGAGTCTATAAGTCTAGTTAGACTTCTGCGAGTTCATCACCTGTCACGTTTCACAATCACAACCCATTGCCCCAAAACACACTCTTATGCTCAGCGACCACACCTCACGTCCACCAGTCTTCCACCAACTCACCGCATATCTTTCTTCTACTCCTCCCCTTCCCCTTCCCCTTCTTTACCCTCTTATTCTCCCCTCCGGCTATTATTCCTGTCCCCCTCCAAAATTAACCACGTTTATCTCCCACCTTCTTCCCGGAGACCCTTGACATCATCTCGAGCCGAAGCTGACAGCTGAGACACCATCCGACACGACTCGACGCTGCCCAACTGACCCTTATTCTAGCCCCTCTATATCCTCCGTTTCAACAGATATCCCTCAATGGAACAGACACAGTCGGGTACCGGCCAGCAACAAGGTCGCCAGCAGCCGGTATATGACACCAGGAATGGCGGTCATTATGGTTCGTATACCACGATTTTGCCCGCCTGCATAGCTTAGAGCAAACCCATTGAGGAATAAATGGGTTTATTATCCCAATGTTGGATTTTTGTTTGATATTCCCGAAGCAAGGAATGCTAGATTTATTCTTATCTTAACTAACTGCTTGTGTAACATCTCTGCAGGTGCCAGCGCGGCGGTATGTGGTTTTGTTTTCCTCCCATCTCATGATAATTCTATTCTGCATGAACTAGAGCTGCCCTTTGTTCGTTTCTATCTCCGAGGCGATACAATCTAATACAACTTTCCTAACAATCACTTGCGAGCGTCTACTTACATTGCCGCGTTTTCAATCAATTAGCTTTCCGCTCAAGGGTATGCGCCTGTACCCGAATTATACACTGGACAATGGGCAAACGTGAGTAGGAAGCCGCCATGTTTCAGGCTGTTCGTCAGTCACGTTGCGTGCTGCACCGGCCCTCCTGATAGCTAGCAGGGGTGAAATTGTATTAAAACTATTCTTCTCTTGCAGGTCAGCCAAGGCCTCCAGGGCAATTCACGCGACATCCTCACGACATACTGGCAGCACACAATCAACCACCTCGAGTCCGACAACCATGACTACAAGCTTCACCAACTGCCTCTAGCCCGGATAAAGAAAGTGATGAAAGCCGACCCGGAAGTGAAAATGATCTCGGCAGAAGCCCCCATCCTCTTCGCCAAGGGCTGCGACATCTTCATTACAGAACTCACTATGCGCGCCTGGATACACGCGGAGGACAACAAGCGCCGCACCCTGCAGCGCTCAGACATCGCTGCCGCCCTCTCAAAATCAGACATGTTCGACTTCCTCATCGACATCGTCCCGCGCGAAGAGGCGACACCACACGCGAAAAGGTCATCGCAGACCGGCGCACCTTCCGCAGCGGCAACTGCTGGAGCCCCTCCTCCCGGCACCACGGGGTCAGGTCAGCTCCCGCCCCAATCTCAGCCTGGTGTCCAGCATCCGCAGCAGCACCACCTGGGTCCTCCGGATTATGGCCCGCTTGGCCAGCATCCTATGGGACCGGAACAGGATTATCGCCAGCAGCCAGGGATGTATGGCGGAGCGGTGCAGTCGGATCCGGGGGCGTATGGACAGCCGCAGCCGCAGATGTTTGAGAATATGTATGCGTCGTATTCGCATATGCCTCCGCAACAGGTACGTGCTTTGTTATTTCCTGTCTCTTGTTTTCTACCTTTATTTTCTGGCTGTGCCAGTGCTAACGGAAACGATAATATGTATAGTGAATTTCATGGGATTCGCAAGTTTGGATGAAAAATAGTTGGCTAGAATTTCACATAAAAATGAAGAAAAAAATAAAAAAAATACATTCCCAAGTCATCGTAAAAACAAATGGATAATCAGGGAGTCCCTCTTTATTTTTTCGTTTTCAATCTTTTGAAGCACGGGTAGAAACGGATGGGAGGGAAGCAAAGGACGGATATCATGGAGTGAGGATTTAAATATGATGACTTTTCTCGTTTTGTCCCCGCCCCATTGTCTTTTGGATGTGTTGATGTTATATATGTCTCTTTTCAAAGATTTTCTTTCTTATCTCTTGGTTGTTGCTTATTGAACGATTTGGAAACGGCGTTCGGATTCAAGTTTGCAACTTCTTTAAGGTTATATATATTGTGGATTTGTTGGAGTCTAATGTTACTGAACAGTTATCGAAAGTGAGTCTGTAGGGATTATTTAGCCCATTGATGTTGCTCCTGTTATTTACAACCCTGCGTCATTGAAGCGGCTACTACGGCTGAGACCCGAAGAAGTACTGTAACTGTATTACGAAGCATTGCACCCAGTGACATACATCCCCAGCCTCATCTGCGACGGCATGTCTATGCAAGTTAAAATTTAACTATTTCATCCCAAGCCTCGTAGACAGCGCGCCGAACTTATCCTGCTTCTGCGGACTCTGGGCGGCAGAAACAAGCCTATGTATACATAACGACCATACTTAGCACGATTTCTTGTAAAACAATCCATTCACCC